GGCTTAGGACTACCTTTGGATGGCACTCTTCTTCTTCCTTTTGTTTTTTCGGAACGTAGGGTTGAGGGTTTAGGGTTTTGGGGTTCAGGGTTTAGGGGTTTAGGGTTCAGGGGTTTAGGGTTTAGGGGCTTCGGGGTTTTAGGGTTTAGGGTTTAGGCTCCGCATCATCGTGGAGGTAAGCCCTAAACCTTAAACCCCTAAACCCTAAACCTAAACCCCTAAACACCCCCTAAACCCTAAACCCTAAAAACCCCTAAACCCTAAACCCTAAAAACCCCTAAACCCTAAACCCTAAACACACCTAAACCCCTAAACCCCCAGACCCCTAAACCCTAGATCCTAAACTTAGGATTGAGGTGAGTATAAGGGTTTAGGGTTTAGGATTTAGGATTTAGGTGAGGAACCCTAAACCCTAAACCCAAACGTGAGGAGTCTTTGGGAACCCTTGCTCTGTTCTCTCACGCAGGAGGCGGGGGAGGAGGCGGGGGCGGCGCCGGCGGCGCCGCATCTTTCGTCTCCTTCGTGCCTGCGAAGGCGCATAGGGGGTCCTGTTTAGGGTCTACTTCGGTCAAAGTGTGGAGGAGTGGGGTTTGGGGTTATTTAGGGTTTCGGGTTTGGGGTTTAGGGTCTAGGTCTTTTCTTGAGGTGTGCTGGATCGGTCTAGCGTTTAGGGTTTAGGGTTTGGGGTTTAGGGTTTAGGGTCTAGGCTTGACGGATCTTGCGATGTGGGGGTAATGGCAACCCGAAACGTTCCAGAAAAGCTGACACATATTCAATTGACAAGCCTCGTTTCTGTTTTCATTCATACATATAGCCGCTAACCCAGGCTAGTATAACCAGTATGTACCTGCAAGACTATTCGTGCGATCTTTCTCCAGGTTCCAAAGTCTAACCTCCGCGACCTCATGAACCCTAAACCCGAAACCCTAAACTCGAAACCCTAAACCCTAAACCCGAAACCTGAAACCTGAAACCCGAAACCCGAAACCCGAAACCCTAAACCCTAAACCCCGAAACTCGACCGAAACCCTAAATAACCCTAAACCCCTAAACCCGAAACCCTAAACCCGGGGTGAGCCTCGGCCTTTATCGCCAAGGAGCTGAGTCGCGATGAAAGCCATCTGGACAGGTGCTGCTCGAGTTTTATGTGTTTTAGTTTAGGGTTTAGGGTTTTAGGGTTTAGGGTTTAGGGTTTAGGGTTTAGGGTTCAGTGTTTAGGGTTCAGGGTTTAGGGCTGTAGGGCTTAAGAATGTAGGGTTTTAGGGCTTATTGCTTCACTGTCTCTGCAAGGGCTCTGTAGTGAATTGAAGGCTTCAGGGCTGATGGCTTTCGGGGCTTTAGCGCGTTAGGGGTTGTCGGACAGTTTCTTTCTCTACGGCTACTTTCAGAGGGCTTCTAATTATCATAAGGGTTCGAAAGTTCTAGTTACTTAGGCCCCTATTTTACTACAAATCCCTTACAGTAACCCTTTCCTGGGACCCATAAAGGAACACTAAATCCTAAAGCCTAAACCCTTAACCGCTACATCCTAAACACTAAACCTCTAAACCCCTAAACCCCTAAACCCCTAAATCCCTAAACACTAAACCCTAAGCCCCTAAACCCCCAAACCCTAAACCCTATACACAGGCATCCCTCAGGGATGGTACCGTATCTGACATGTCTACATCGTCTTTATTTGGCTGACTTCTGAACCCGTCCTAAAAGTTATATTTTCCAAGAGGCTCCATATATACTACCATTGTGGAACTAGGTCCCTAAAGCCATAATAAGGATGGTCTTTTGGAACCTAATTCCATAATGGTAGTATATATATGGACCCTCTGGGTTTTAGCGTACATATTATCGTCCATATAGAAACCCTAACCAACCAGAAGAACGCCAAGTTTATTGAGGGATAGCGACACCCCGAGTATAGGGTTCAGGGTGTAAGGGTATTAGGGTGCAGGGTATTAGGGTATTAGGGTTGAGGGTAGTAGGGTATCACGGTTGAGGGTATTGGGGTTCAGGGTATTAGGGTATTTCTCTGAATTAAAGTCCCAGCTAGGGTCCTTTTGATAAGGGGCCGCAGTATTTTGGGGACCTAGAAAGGACCCGAATTTAGAGAACTAACCCTCCTAAACCCCCTTTTGACTTAGTAAGTAGGGTTAGTAAGGTGGGTTATGGGGATTGTAATAGGGCTCCTGGGGGATACCAAGTAGACTTACTAAGTCAAAAGGGCCTCCAAGCAGGGAGAAAGAGGGAAGGCCTCTTGTCACTATGGCAGGATACGCCCATAAGACGGCGCAGTGCCAGCGGCACAGAGTGTTATACTCGCGCCACGCCATTGCAATCCCAGCACTGTGTGCCGACACCTAGCGGTAACAGCTGAGGGTTCGGCTGAGGAACGTTTTCATAAACCCTAAACCCTAAACAACCCTAAACCCTAAACCCAGGATTTCTTGTGGAGGCTCGCGTCCATGCGCAGAAACAAGGGAAGGTCGGGCGAATGCACACGGACATCCTACTCCTCGACGAAATCCCCAAGGCACCGGTCGCAGCCTTCATGCTACGTAGAGGTGAAGGCTTGGGTCGGACGGTGTAGGTTTGGGAGCGGGTCAAACCGTAAAACCCTAAGACCCGAAAAAACCCAAACCCTAACCTCACCCCGCGGCTCCTTGGAAAACTGCCTGGAGATGATAGATGCATTCTTCATGAACCTCGGCTGGCATCGATTACAGCGCTCGGCATCACTAAACCCTGAACCCTAAACCCTATATGTTGGGTTCCTTTGGGGTTCCTTCTAAGTGTCTAGATGGCGGGGTTCTACACGGCCTCTATACTGTAGCCACCTTAGCAGTTTTCAGTGGGCTTCAGGGGATATTACCGTAGAGCTATTTAGGACTATAGGGCTCAGGGTTTAGGGTATAGCTGATATTATTTAAGACTGAGTGGGCTTCAGGGGATATTACAGTATAGCTATTTACGACTATAGGGTTTAGGGTTTGGGGTATAGCTAAGTTTATTTAAGACCGTAGGGGATACCATTACTGATTATTCCGGCCTCTATCTGGGAGCTAGACCGGTTCAGGGTTTAGGGTTTAGGGTTTAGGGTTTAGGGTTTAGGGCTTAGGGTTTAGGGTTTGAGGGGTCAGGGGGCTTCCAGGTGGGCTGTGAGGAAGCTTATTTCTTAGGACATCTGAGGACTGTAACCTTTCTTCTTGGGCCACAAATCCTGAAGCTTATTTGCCAAGCTAAACCCTAAACCCTAAACCCTGAACCCTAAACCGTAGAGCCTAAACCCTAAACTCCAGATCTCGCAAGTCTGCCCTCACGGCCCCATGAGGCCTTCCTTCCACGTCTGGGGTTTGAAAAGGCGTTTATAATGCCTTTGTGGGGTTGAGGCTGAGTTTCAGCTTCAGTTTCAGTTCAGTTTCAGTTTCAGTGGGGATCGTTATGGGCTGTTAATGTAGGCGCCTTAATGCTTAGAATAGGGTTTTGGGCTCCTCCATGGTATAGTAGAGTGTATAGTTATAATAAGGAACCCTAAGATATAAGGTTGGTAGTTACTTAGGCTTCTATATTAAAAGGCTCTTTTCTGGACTTCTATGGATGCTTTAAGCTGGGTTCCCGAAGGATCGCGATCTGGATCGACGCAGCTGACAAAACAAACATTAACAACGAGAATCTAAGACCCTAAATTTGCCCCAGCCACTTCACTAAACCCGTGATGAACCCCTAAACCCCACGCTTAGAGCCCAAAATGGAGAAAAGGCGGGCCTTAATCCTTGTAGAACCCTTGTAAAACTCCAATGACACCCTACAAAGGCCATTGGCATCAGCCCCCCAGCCCTACGCGCCCCTTCCCTCCCCTGTTTACCCTCCTTTTCAGACTTTGACTTGTGGGGTTTAGGGTTTAGGGTTTAGGGTTCAGGGTTTAGGGTTTAGGGTTTAGGGAAACCGTATCGCTTCACAGGGGGAGGGGGTGACGTGCTAGCCTTGCCGCGCCATGCATGATCGCCCATAAGTGCCCTTTTAGATCAGCCGTGTCCTACACACAAGACCCTCAAAAACCACTACGTACAACAGCCTACGAAACCACACAAAACCGCAAAACCCTGTACCACCCTCTCTCTCTCTCTCTCGCTCTGTGTGTCTCTGTCTCGCTCTGTGTCTCTGTCTCTCTCTCTCCCTCTCGCTCTCGCTCTCTCTATGAGCATATATATAATATATGTATATGTATATGTATATTTATACATGTACACAGCTGTCTATCCATCTATCTGCTTATAACCCCACAAGATTCTAGAAACCCTAAACCCTAAACTCTCAACCCTAAATCCTAAACCCTAAGCTCTAAACCCTAAACCCTGAACCCTAAACCCTACACCCTGAACCCTAAACCCTACACCCCAGAAGCTTAAAGAAGCCGAGGAGCTTCCTCTGGCGTTGCAGCCGCTCCGAGGCCGTGGAGTCTTCCTGTCCCATGCCTGCGCCGGCTTCCGGGTTCCTCTGAAACCCTAAACCCTAAACCCTAAAACTCTAAACCCAAACCCTAAAACCCTAAACCCTAAACCCGCATCCAGAAAGCCTAACCCTAAACCCTAAACCTTCAACCCTAAACCCTAAACCCTGAAGCCTAAACTATTTCTGGACCTTTGGGCCCGAAGGCCATACTAGATAAGGCTTTTGGGCTAGTTTGAGCCTAAAGGGGAGAGGTCGAAGCAGGGATTTTGGGTTCAAGGTCAGGGGTATAGGGCCCATAGAGGGTTTTGGGCTTAGGATTTTGGGCCTATGGATTTAAGGGTTGTGATTTAGGGACTGGATTTAGGGACTGGAGTGGGACAGAAGAAGAGCCCCCGGTTATTAGCAAGCAGCTTAGAACAGCAGTAATACAGGGTTTAGGGTTTGTTGGAAGAGGGTGCTGAGATACATTAACGCACACAAATAGAGAGGAATCCTCCGGGCTCGTCTATATTGGCAAGTATTCATCAACTCTCTATAATTGCTCTAGTTCAGGGTTTAGGGTGTTAGGGCTTTAGTGCTTTAAGGGCTTAGGGTTCAGGGGTGCTGGTCCCCAACCCCAAACCCTAAACCTTAAACCCTAAACTTTAAACCCTAAACCCAAAACCCTGAACTATAAACTTTAAACCCCTTAAACCCCTTAAACTACTATTCGAGCGACTTGCTGCCTGCTTAAAAGGTCCCTTGATCCTCAAAGTAGACTGCTGCATGCCCAGAGACTCCAAAACCCCTTAATTAAGGAATATACCTTAAATTATAATAGGATCCCTAATATGATTTAAGGTGTATTCCTTAATTAAGGGTTCTGGAGTCTCTGGGTGAGGACTCCGATTCCGATGATGAGGAATCGGAGTAAACCGGCGAGGTCTCGGCCCGTTCGTGTGCTTTGGCGTTCCACCAAAACACACGAGGTTTAGTGTTTAGGGTTTAGGGTTTAGGGTTTAGGCATCAGGATAAAGGGCCGTCCACTTCTGCCACGTCTTTATGGTTGTCGGCATAGGAGTCACCTCAAGGACCGTACAGGAGGCACGAGACTACTCAGCAGCCTGACACAAGAGCATAGGAGGGTCGACACCCTGCCACCGCTCGGCAGTTTTCAGAAAGGTCTCAAGTCCAAAGGCACTGACCGCTCCAGTCGTTGGAACAAACAGCCCTTCCTGCCCGTTCTTGTGTGGCTGTGCACACGAAAACCCAAAGTCCAATGCGCAATGTTGCCATCCGTTGTGTGGCTTGGCATGACGAACTCAAATTATCCTTTCGGCATGATCACAGAAGCACTACGGGGACCTTAGCCATTAGAGTAGCGTAGGGGCCTTAATAACTAGAATAGGGTTTTGGGCTCCTTTCTAGTACTAGTATAATAAGGAACCGTAAGAGTAATATTGATAATTATTCAGGCTGACGGCTTGGTGGATATATTATATGTTACGGTACAGTTGCAGTCAGAAACCCTGACGAGTAAAGTTAGCAAAAAAACCTAAACCCTAAACCCTAAATATTCAAACTTTTGAATTACTCAAAGCTAGAACCCTGGCCTAGGACCCCTGCAAAACAAGCAACCTTTACCAGGAATTATCACATTTTTATAGGGGCCTCGATGATTACCGATACTATATTG